AATGAGAAACTCTAAGATTTTTGATGAGCTTCATACAAAAATTTTACAAAAATTTTCCATGTTAAAAATAGACCTCCCAGGTTAAAAATAAACTTCCCAGTTTAACTGGAAAGTCTATTTTTAGTATAAAGTTATTTAAATTATACTAAAATTAAAAACAAATCAAAAAAATACCCATTTGAATTTTCATTAGATGCAGTTGGTGGACTCCAATTATTGTAATTGTATGCTGATGGTGCCCGCTTAAACAGAGTTTTTAAATTTGTTTTAAATTTATTTACAACAAAAAAAGATAAAAATCAAACTTCATATTGAAAACAAAAAATTTATGTTATTTTTTGAAAAAAGTTTTATCATTTTAATGGCAAAAACAACAACAAGAACAACAACAACAAAATATATTAATACCCTATCTAACTCTTCCCCCAACCAAATTATTGCACTTTTCCATTTCGCTTTTAACTCTTCTGATTTCATTAATATTTGATGAGCTAATTCACAACTGAAACACAAATGGAAATTATAATGAAACAATTAATTTGAAGACAAAAACCTTTTGCAATAACAAAAAATGTAACAATTAATTAATTTTTAAATGCAATAAACTCCCAACAGTTGTAAAGCATAAAAGTTGATACAAATAATGTAAGATAAACATAACAAGACACAAAAAATTACTTTTGAATAAGTTGGACAATAGCTTTGATACATTGGTAACCTCGTTTATGACTATGTGATTTTGATCGTTGAATTGTATCAAATAGTCCTTCACGATCATCTGATACTCCTAGAATTAAGCAAACATAACATAAGAATACAAAAATAATTCTGAGAATATATATATATATATATATATATATATATATATATATATATATATATATATATATATATATATATATATATATATATATATATATATATATATATATGTATATATATATATATATATATATATATATATATATATATATATATATATATATATATATATATAAATTAGGGTGGTCCACAAAACCATACTGAAAAGTTTAATTTGTAGAATCATTGCTCAACATGGCTTGTTTTTGTCCATTAGATATAGGTATTTGACCTGCAAAATTTCAGGCTGATTGAGCAACATTTAGAGGTCAACCCATTATCAATAATACTTGTCAAGCGTCTGCACTTGTGATTTCTGTCTGACTGTGATGAGTTATAAATTAATTTACTTACTAACTTGTGTAGTGAATTCTAACGTGCATGTTTTTATTTTATTTTGAAGGTGTTACTGAATTAATATTGAATTTCAAGTTAAGAAACAAGATGGGAGTAGAAAAAGCACCAAAGCTTGTTTTTATATGCAGAACATTAAATAACGATGTATTGATTAATGAATTATAGAAAACATAAATTACCCAAGTAAAAATGTTTATCAAAACATGGCTTATTTAAAACAAAAGGAGTTTGAACCAAAAAACTAAGGTTTTTTGTTTGTTTGTTTTTTCAAAAAATCCCATAATTTTTTTTTTCAAATGTTTTTCTTTCAACCTTGTAAAATGTTATTTTCTGAAACTGGATAAATTAAAATAAAATTAACTATAACGTAATTTATAAAATAGCATGACGTAAAAAAAAATTACCATTAAAAGCTGATTTGAGTCTTTGCTCCTGCCAAGAGTCATTCATGAGTAGCAAATGTAAAAGAATATCAAGAAAAGGACGAAGCTCATATGTGTAAGCATATGAAATCTGGAAAAAAAAAATGTTTTTTTACTTTACTGACTTTTGTAGGTCAACATTAGTGAAGTTGTTAACATAACAATTGATAATTTTATTATTAAAATCATTTGTAAAATCATTTAGAAAAGTATATTTTTTTTAAATTTAAAGGGGGAAAAAAAAAAAAAAAGGTAATAAAAAAATTAAAAAAAAATCATTAACAAAAATTTCTAAAATTGTTAAGTTAACATTCAAAGAACTATATACCTTTCATACCTATATTGTTAAGGACTGACACAAAGAAATTAAAAAAAAAACAGCCATTAATTTTATATATTTTAACACAAAGTATAACATAATACAATATATAAAACACAAAAATTTACATAATACAATATAAACACATAATATAAAAAATACAATATATACAAGACATGACATAAAATAATAATACAATATAATATACAAAAGCAAAAATAAAATACATGTAAACATGTAACATACATTTAGTGACAGTTGAAAGAGAAATATACAAAAAGATCAGATTTATAAGTGAAAAAACTGGTAATAATGAAACAAGTAATTAAATAACAAATAAATTAAAATTCTAAATTAATTCTAAATAACTCCAAAAAAACCATTGATGAAAAAGCTATAAACTAATAAAGTGATAAATATTTAGTACGTAAATATATAAATAAATAACCAAAACTTTTAAAAAAACTTAGTATAACCAGGAATAATATATATTATAAATCTTATTAAATCTTATTATTATATATATTATAAATCTTATTAAATCTTATTATTATTTTGTTTTTATTATTATAAAAACAAAACAAAAAACAACTTTTTAAATACTTAGTATAACAAAAAATAATATTAAAAAGTATTCAAGAATACTTACTGAGAATAAAACCTCTGATAACGCAATAAGAGAAAAACTCAAACATTCCCAACTCAAAAACTGTTAAGTAAAACAAAAAAAATTATTTTTTATAAATAAAATTCAAAGAAAAATCTGATGTGCCTAGTAAAATAAAATCTGATGCACAAACAAATTAATTTGATACCTTAATTAGTTGAATTGTATCTTCGGAATTATTACTTTCTTCTAAAAACTTTTTGATGCAATTGCTAAAAAAGTTTAAAATGTTTTAAAAAGTGTACAAAACTTTTTAGTTTTGAAAAATAAAATATTTACTTTATTCTTGTATCACAAAACAATTTTTATTAAGAAAAATGATATTAAAAATATGCTAAAAACAACTGAAGAAAGATTTTCAAATTTTTCGTGATGTGTGGACTTCAGGTAGAATTAGAAGGTTTTTTTTATTAATGTATGTTGCTCAGACAAATTTTATTATAATCTTGAAATGTTAAGAACAAATGCTTCAATATCTTCCGATAGAGCAGTTAGTATTGTTATTGAAATGTAAATGATTTTGGCCTAAACTTAATCAATAATATATTTAGGTGTGTTACTGATGGTAACAGTTGTAACACACCCAAAAATAAATCTATATACTTTTTGCACTATTATTATTTGGTTATTACATATTAAAAAAACAAAAAAATATTTACTTAAGTTAATAGAAAATTAGTCTATCAAAGTATTTAACTTATTCAAACTTCGATATTTGAGTAAAAATCCCCTTTCAGTGTGCCAAGTCACAATCGTACCTTTTAAAGTGATCTTCAAAACTATGATATTGATTTAAGTAATTTATAATTTTTTTTTTTACTTTTCTAAACATCTTTCAATTTTTTTGCACAGAGAAAGGGTAGAAAATATCATAACAAATTTCGATTTTGTCATATTTAGCTTTTTTTCTTCTGCATTTTGTTTACATTTATGCTGAACCTTTCTTTGAACTTAAAACTGAAAATATTATGTGCACAAGTTTATAAAGAAGAAAAACAAGACAAGACAAAAACAAATTAAATGTTGACTTATCTGCAACATTTGGAGTAAGCTCTTTAATCAACTGGTAATAAAAGAGCTTATTTCAGGTGTCTGCAAAATCATAGCTTTACTGTTATAAAAGTCGATTTTTAAAAACATTTTTTTGTAGAAGAATGGAAGGGAAAACTTTTAAAAAATCTTGGTGTTGTAACTGTATTGATTCATGGTTATATAAACAATTTTAGAAATAGAAAATTTCAGTTTTATACATCAAATTACAAAATATTATTAAAAAGTTGAAGCTATTAATTAAAATTTGCCTTGTGTAAATCATGCCTTCAACATCAGAGGGTATTTCCATAATTGGAGTGGTAGCCATAGAGTCTAAGTATGGATTAGGCTTACATTGCTCTCCCTAAAAATATTTTTTAAACATATTTTTATAAGAATATATTGTAATATATGATATTGCATACATAGACACACACAGAGTTCATATTTAATTATACATTTAAACACTTTTATCGACCATTTAAAAGATAAAACAATTATTTATAGATTTCTTTTAAATGTTAAAATCTGAGAAAACAAGTTCACTTTAATGTGTGTTTTTTTCTTTCAAAATTGTGATTTTATGTAGCTTTTGTATTTGTTTTTGTTTTTGTTTTGTATTTTGTTTTGTTTTTGTTTTGTAAATGTTGTTTATCCATCAAAACAACTATTAAAATATAAAAACTTTTTGTTTAAACAAAAACATTTAAATTTGTAAAATATACAAGGATAAAGCTATTATAATTAATCAAAAAGCATTTATACCTTACCTATTTTTGGATGGTTGGATGCATCATATATTAACATGGTGTGTAAGGATGACTTATTTTAACCTAGCTACACTAATCTACAAGCTTATTGAAAACAACCTAAGTAGCAGGGTTTTTTTTTTTTAATTTTTTTTTTTTTTTTTACAAATTTTAACATTTAAAAGATTCAATAACTTATTTCAATGAAATTGTTACTTTTATTGCAGAATTCATATATTTAGTCACATCACAGCTTCTTATTAAAACGGACACCAAAGAATATAACTTTGCTGATTCAACATTTTGGTATTTGACTGAATTATTAAACTCTTCTTCTAATGCAAGACGAATAAATGTTAAAAGTACTCCCAAGTCCAAAAGTTGTTTACGCTACAAGAGATATTTTATTTCAAAATAAAGTTAAAAATATGATTGTTAAATAAAAACCTTTTACATGAGAAAAAATTAAAAACTGGATCATTGGTTTAATTAACAATAAACTATTATTAACAACATCAATTACTAGAACTTTTTTTTTTTTTGATGAGCTTTTGTATTTCTAAATTATATTTTTATTTATTACTATTTCTAAAATATACTTTTACTATTTGTTTTATAACATTTTGTTTTATTTAACTATACATTGTAATCAAATATGTTGGTTTTAACCAAAGTAAAAAAGTACCTCAGCAGGCCCAATTCCTGCATACATGACAAATAATTGAAAGTACTGCAGGAGATGTCTAGGATTGTTTTCTGAACTTTCACGATGAAGAACTTCTATAACTGTTCGCATTAAGTAATCACTTATTGTAGCTTTTGTGGCATCTAAGTCAGAAACTGTAAAAAAAAAAAGAGAAATTGTAAAATTAGAACTTTATATTTTCTTTAAAATAATTTATAATACGATTTATAATGTTATTTGCAACATCAACACTGCAATGGCACAATATTTACTGAAGAAATATTTTGAATAAGATATATGTAATTCATTAATTAAAAATTCACTAAAAACTTTGCTATGTTTAGATGTGTGCTACTGTTGGTCAAAGAGACCGCCAGGTTTTAATGTCGTATCCCTTAAATGAAACCGTTTTTATTCAAGAGCATTTGTTTGATAGCAATAGAAAACAGTTTTTTTTTAAATCAGAACTAAGTGCTAAAAATTACAAATGGGGTAAAAGAGTAAAATTAAGAAAGCCTTCGCCCATTTAAACATTACATGCTTGTTAAAAATATTTTAAGATGCAAAGTCAGAAAAAAATAGTCACAAATGGGGAAAAGAGAAAGATTGAGGGGGCCTAAAGTTATTTAAGCATTTTAGATGTCCTTTACAAAAAAAAATTATATTTCAAAAAATTAAAAAAAATTTTAAACCACAAAAACATTTAAAAATATTTAAAATAAAACAGTATGCAAAAGTTTATACTAAATTAAACTCTTTTTCCATTAAAATTAACTACATAGCCCCTCTCTGTGTTGATATACTTTTTTACACATTTAAACTTATTGCAGGTAAGTTTAAATTCAAAATGAAGTGATTGCCACTGTTTAGCAAACTATTTTGTGTAGATAGGAGTTTTTTAATTCACCTTTACCAATCAATTTTCCCAACTTAGACCTATAGTTCAGTGTATGAAAAAATTTAAAATAGTAAAAAATTCTTGTTTTTGTCAAACTCTTGGGACTGAGAATAAATTAGCATTTGCTATATTAAAAAACTTATTCCTATCTACCCAAGGTTTTTATCAGCCAAGTTTATTGAACAGTCTGCATTCAGTTTGCTAAACAGTGTTAAAAGGATCCCAAACTCCCAACAAATGTTGTGTTGTTCATATTAAGGATAGTTTTAAAAAAAAAGGTTTGAACCAAGTTTTTTTGATTAAAAATAAATAATGAATCCATACCGAGAAAAACTAATGTTGTTGTTTTGACTAAAGCTCGCCTTCTCCATTTTTTTCAACAACTCAGAGTCTTCAAATTATACGTCGCAATCTACAGACTTTGGCGATTCATTTGAAGCGCGTTTAATTCATAAAAGTTTTAGTATTTGACGTCACAGTAGACTTTTAACAAATGAAAAGTGTAATTAAACTAAGCTGCGTTTTTTTACTGTAGTAATTAAACTATGCTGCGTTTTTCTACTGTAGTATTTTCTTAATTGCATTTATAGATCACTCAAAAATCAATTTTAAAAAAAGACGAAAAACATATATTGATACAAATGAAATCATTTATATTTTTTTCAATGATAGTGGTGGATATTTTTTTTGTTTGATCAGCACTACAAAGGTTTTATTAATTTAATATCAAAAATGATATATTTATCTATTTCTTTTTTATTTGTTTAAGTTTACATAAAGAAACTATATGTTTTTGTTAATTTTAACATAATATATTTTGATCACGAAACTTAGATAAACAAAATTTTTTTAAAGTTTTTGGATATTCTGAAAGTCAATTTTTAAACAAAAAAAACAAGGTCTTGTTTTTAAAATTCTGACTAGTAGTTTTTAATACACTTTTGATTGATCATGATTCTAGTTCTTCATTTTACGCGCAGTCATGTAGCTGTTTTTAGCTCAGTCGCGAAAGTTTTAACATACAGCAAAACAAATTTATTTGTAAAATTTTTTAAAAATAAAAACAATAAATTATTTTTTATTTATATGAGCAACTTATTTTTTACAGATATCTGAATAATTTTTAGATTTATATATATATTACTTATATTTCTTTTGTTTTTAAATTAAAACAAATATTAAAGCTTTACATACTAATCTTATGATTTTCATACGAGTATTTTACATTATATAGAACGTTTGATATATGGTCTCTCGTTTTTGTGCAAGAGAGCGCAGCATTATATATATTCTGATTTTTACTTATTTTTATTTAAACAATGGAAACTATTTTCTAACTTCTCTGGTTATTTTGACGCTATGACATTTTTTGTTTTCCCTTCGAAAAAAAGTATTTATTAACAATTACTTTCATAAACTGACAGTATTAGTTAGAGATAGTTGATGAATTGTTAACTTTTTTTGCTATAAATTTTTTTTGATTATGCTGATTTAATTTAAATTGCTAAATTTGCTGAATTGGATACGGATAAAAAGGAAATAACATTTTATTTTATATTTGATAATGAAACTTTTAAAATGTTACATACAAATTAGAACCTGTTAAGGTTATGAAAAAAAAGTACAAAAATTTACTAATAGTATCAGATATCAAGGCCGACAACACTGAGGAGGGGGGGGGGTTTGCAGTAGGGCGCATGCACCCCACTTTTTTTCTAAAGGACCTTTTTTTTTAAAGAAAAATCTTGATATGTAGGACTTTTTTCACAAATTGATGATTGTGCTCCCCCCCCCCCCCTCCACTTCAAAACCTGTGACGTCAGCCCTGGATATGAAAATTTGTGAAAAGATATGTGAGATCCTGGTTTTGCATTAAAAGTACAATCAATAGCAACACAAGTCGGCATTATAAATTTTGATTATAAGTTTACTGTTCAATATTTTATAACCATCAAATTGAAAACATGAAGTTCGTATATTTTTGCCCATTTTATACAACTAAAATTTAACAAAAATACGGACAAATTATTATTAAATAACGCAATAATTAACACATTAATTAATGGCAATAATTCGAGATAGGTAACTTAAATTCTCAAAATATCATAACGCGCGTTAAAAAAAAATTACATTTGATATTTCCCAATTTGTGTCGAATTTGGCATTTGTCTCTTAACATGAAAAATTAAAAAATTTTTAAAAACACAATTAACAAATACAAATTTTCAAGCAATTTTCTCTTCCAATTCTCATTTATTCAAAGAAAAGTTACTATTAAACTTTTATTTATCTTAAAAAAGAACGAGTGATGCAAAAAAAAAAAAAAATTCTATACAACTCATTCATTCGAAGTTTAATTACATGAAACTTTTCTTTCTTTTTTGTTCTACTCTTTTATAAAAAGAGTGCACGATGAAATAAAAACTTTTCTTTCTTAACATAAAATTATACTTAGAGATAAAATTAAATTAGAAATAAAGAAGCAACTAACAGATTAATCTGGGACTATTTTAACATTAATGAAAATAATCTACATAAACAACATTACCAACAACAATTATCACAATATCGCATAGTTTTAGGGGCTTTTTATTTTTTTTGCTTGGTCGTTCTAAGTAATAAGTAAATTTAGTTCAAGTTAATATTTTAATAATTACAGTTGCAATATAACAAAAAAAAAAGATGTTTAATGTTGAACTTTTTATTTAGTTATTTATTTTTTACTTTTATTATAAAAAGACTTTAGTACCCCCGCAATTTAAATAACTTGTTTTAAATATATTTCGACGCCATTATTCAAACTAATTTTTTTCGTTTGACTTTCCGAACTTCATGCAAAGCAAATTGAGACAAAATATCGTCTAACCAAATAAAAATGTTGTTAATTTTATACGGGTAATTAATGTAAAACATTTTTTTATCAGAGTCTTGATTGAGATAAAAAATATTCACAATTTATAAACATTAAATATATGGTGCAATAACAATTTATAGAAACTAACCAGCATAAAATAATTGAGGTTTTTAATATCTTTTTAAATGTTAAAAGTAGAAAGAAAAAAAAAAACTAAACAAATAATTAAAAAATTTTTGAATAAAAATAAATAAAAATATTTCCAGAGTTTCATTTGTTAAAAGTCTACCGTGACGTCAAATACTAAAATTTTTATGAATCAAACACGCTTCAAAGGAATCGCCGAAGTCTGCAGATTGCGACGTATAATTTGAAGACTCCGAGTTATTAAAAAAAATGGAAAAGGTAAGCTTCGACTGAAACAACAACATTAGTTTTTCTCGGTATGTATTTATTATTTATTTTTAATCAAAAAAACTTGGTTCAAACCTTTTTTTTTAACATTATCTTTAATATGAACACAACCTGTGTTGGGAGTTTGGAATCCCTTTTAAGACTTCATTCTAAATTTAAACCTATATGGAAAAGATTTAAACATGTAGAAGAGTAAACTCAACATCAAAAGATGCCTGAAGAAGAAAACAGAAGAAGAAAACAGAAAAAGAAAACAGAAAAAGAAAACAGAAAAAAACAGAAGAAGAAAACAGAAGGAAACAGAAGAAGAAAACAGAAGACATGTAGAAGAGCATACTCAACATCAAAAGCAATTCTGTAGTTAGTATTAATGGAAGAGTTTAATTTATCATTAAATTTTACATACTGCTCTAGAGAAGGAATTAGACTTGTATGATTTTTGTTGGATTATCTAACGTATATAAAATATATAAAATCTGTTAAATATATAAAATATGTAAACATTTCAAAATATTTTGTTGTTTTGAATTTTGTCTAAATTATTTGAAATTTAATTTATTTTTCATAAAGGACATTTAAAATGAATAAATGGGTTTTCCCTCAATTTTAACTTTTGTCCCATTTGTGACATTTTTTTTCCTCCTTTTTTTTCCAATTTTCTATACAATTTATTTTGTAGCGTGCATTTAAAATGTCTCAAATGTTTAACACCACATTAATTTTACTTTTTTACCCTATTTATGACTCATAGGTCTTTGTTTTGAGTATTATAAAAAGACAAATAAAAAAACTCTTGAATAAAAAAGGTTTTATTTGAGTGACACAGCATAAAACCTGACTGTCTCTTTGGTGTTGATGCTAGTGGTTGGTGGTGGTACTAGTGGTTGGTACTAGTTTACACTATAAATCTATGAATTTTGTTAAATCATAAAAGTTTTTTGTATCATGAAAATTTGTTTCAATAAATGCAGTTTACCTTGCCAAGGTTCAAGTGGACTGTTAAGCAATTCAATACTAAAGCAACCATCATTACGAGTTAAGTGAGCTAGTAAAATTATTATTCTCCCAAAAGCACTGCGAATCTAAAGTAGATGAACATTAACTTTTTTAAAAGATGAAGTTGACCTAATAAAAATAACTAATATTTATTAAGTTAACTTCATTTTTTAAATAATTTATTTTTTAAAATAGTGAAATTATGTTTATGAAGATTAAAAAACTGCAAAAAAAATTATTACCTCTGCAACAGGACATTCAAGAAGATACTCAATAATTCTATCTGGCCGGGATAATAAAACCTCTATAACAAACCATCTTCGCAAAGAAGGACTTTGGCGAACTAATACTGCAACAGTTTCATACCATTCATTTGCAGGTCCTCTAACATAAGTACAGATACTTAATTAAATTTTATCTTCAATAAAATTGAGCAAAAAAAAAATTGAGCAACAAAAAAAAAAAAATTTACCTTATATTTTTTTTAGTATGAAAGCATACAGTAAAGAGAAACTTGCTTAAGAGTTGGAGACAAATAAAATGTAGCTCATCACGGGCTGGGTCGTTAGGCTAAAATTGTTTTGATTACAAGAATAGTATTTTTCACAACTTATAACATTTAAACTTCATATTTGAGAAAATTTATACAACACTTGAATAGACAAAAAAAAAAAAAAACTTTGATAAAAAGCCTTATGAAAAATCTTTAAAATTTAAGTTATAATATTAAGATAAGTGTTGTATAAATTTAGTTAAATATTTTTATTTCAATTAAACTCACTAGACAAGCTAACCTAGCTAAAACAAAAATATGGTTTACTATTTTATAACTAATATAAAAATTTCTGAATGAATAATTTTCATTAAAATTAATTCAATTAAAAAAAATACTTTATGTGGTGATGAATGAGCTTGTGGTGACAGACTTGATAACACTAATTTGCGTATAAACTGAAAGTACTCTTGAGAAAACTGCATTTTTGTATGCAAAAATTGAATGTTTTCTTGTGAAACTGATTTTTCTATAGCTGAAGGCATTATTAACTTGCCACAGGAAGAACTATTTTCACGATTGGTTTTAGATGCAACATCAAGTCGTTCGTAAAATAAAAGATAAGCATTCCACCACCTCTTTTGACGTCTACATAAACAAATTATAATTTTAAATTATAATATATCTGTGTGTGTATGTATATATAAATATATATATATATATATATATATATATATATATATATATATATATATATATATATATATATATATATATATATATATATATATATATATATATATATATATATATATATATATATATATATATATACAAACACACACACATACACATATATAACTCTATATAAATATAAAAAAATTGAAACCTTTTCATCATATGGTCAAAAACTTCTCCCATATATTCACCACCAAAGCATTGATTTTTAAGCTCCTAAATAATAGATAAATATTTTTAATAATATAAAAAAATGTTCTTTAAAAATTTCAATTTATAAAATGATAATGTACCTCTTCATCATCCATGTTACAATCACTAACATCACCATCATCAAATTTATACCAGCTTTGTTTTCCACTTGATTTTGATCTAATTAAAAATAATAATAATATTAAAAAATCAAATTAAAAAATACTTTAAAAGCTTACCATTAAAAATTTTAAAAACGATATGAAAATAACTGTATTACCTGTTGGTTATATATGAGTAATAATGACCTCCACTAGCCTGGCCACTGTGAACAGTAACCCCAACAAGTTTATATATAGTACTTTTTTCTTTTTCATCATCCACAATAAATGGAGTCTTATTTGCTTGATCTATAATATCTTCTTCAATTATTTCACCTTCTAATTTAGCTAGCCCTTCTACAGTAAATGGCTCCAAATCAAACTCTCTTGGAAACTCGAAATAATCATTAAACTTCACAGCACAGTCTCTGATAGAAAAATAAATCAACAAAACAAAATAACTTTTTTTTAAATTAATTACTTTTTCTCAAAAGAAAGTATATTATGTTTTAATTATATAATTAAAATTTAAAAATAGGGTATTGACAAAATTAAGAAAATCATTTAGTTTATGGAAGTAACATTTTTTTGTTATATATGTCACTTTTACTCAAAAAAGGAAATTGCATACTTATACCAAAAAATATACAATAATATAATTAATTAATATAATCAATTAAATAATTAATAATATAATAATATTATTATTAATACTTGATAGT